GGAACTATAGGTGTTCGCCACCACCTCTGGCTAATTTTTGTATTTTTTTGTAGAGACGGGGTTTCACCATGTTTCTCAGGCTGCTCTCAAACTCCTGAGCTCAAGTAATCTGCTGCGTTGGCCTCCCAAAGTGCTAGAATTACAGGCTTCAGCCACAGCACCCAGCCAGTTATTTATTTATTTATTTATTTATTTATTTTTGAGATGGAGTTTTACCCTTGTTGCCCAGACTAAAGTGAAATGGCGCGGCCTCAGCTCACTGCAACTTCCACCTCCCAGGTTCAAGCAATTCACCTGCCTCAGCCTCCCAAATAGCTGGGAGCATAGGTGCCTGCCACCATATCTAGCTCATTTTTTAATTAAAAAAAAATTTTTTTTTTTTTTTTAGAAGATGGCCAGGCTGGTCTTGAACTCCTGACCTCCGGTGATCCACCCACCTCGGCCTCCCAAAGTGCTGGATCACAGGCATGAGCCACCTTGCCTGGCCTAATTTTTGTATTTTTACTAGAGATGGCATTTCACCATGCTGGCCAGGCTGGTCTCGAACTCCTGACCTCAGGTGATCTGCCCTCTTCAGCCTTCTAAAGTGTTGGGATTAAAGGTGTGAGCTGCTGTGCCAGGACCAGACAGTTATTATTTAAAAAAAAAAATTCTCTCCCTCAGGCAGAGGTTGCAGTGAGCTGAGATCATGCCATTGCACTTCAGCCTGGGCAACAAGAGTGAAACTCCGTCTCAAAAAAAAAAAAAAAAAAATGATCTCCCTCCTCCTGCTGATCCCTCCGAACCAATATATAAATTGCTGCTGGAGGGAGGGAGAACACTGCTTGTTGTTGTTGTTGTTGTTGTTGTTGGAGTTTCATTCTTGTTGACCAGGCTGGAGTGTAATGGCACGATCTTGGCTCTCCACAACCTCTGCCTCCCAGGTTCAAACGATTCTCCTGCCTCAGCCTCCCGACTAGTTGGGATTAGAGGCATGCACCACCATGCCCGGCTAATTCTGTATTTTTAGAAGAGATGGGATTTCTCCATGTTGGTCGGTCTGGTCTCGAACTCCTGACCTCAGCTGATCTGCCCACCTTGGCCTCCCAAAGTGCTGAGATTACAGGGGTGAGCCACCATGTCCGGCCAGGAGGCTGCTTCTTATGACATATAGTCTTTGCTCATTCTGCAGGCTTATGCAACAGACACACCTGCTCCTCAAAAAAGTTTGGAAAACCACTGCCTGCCTGCCTTCCCCAGAGAAGGTGTTATTTGGTAGAACCACATCCCGATACAAAATGCCAAAGCTGTCCTTGACTTGGACACTTCTCTTTAATTATTACCGGCAACCACAGGCTTCATTGGCAGCATCTAGGATGTTTCTGCTACTAGCTCCGTTTCGAGAATTCAATTTGCTTTTCATTGTTATCATTTCCTTTTTTCTTTTTTTGAGACAGTCTCCCTCTGTCGCCCAGGCTGGAGTGCAGTGGCACGAACTCAGTTCACTGCAATCTCTGCTTCCCAGGTTCAAGTGATTCTCTGCCTCAGCCTCCCAAGTAGTTGGGACTACAGGAATGTGCCATCACATCCAGCTAATTTTTATATTTTTGGTAGAGATGGGGTTTTGCCATGTTGGTCTCGAATTTCTGGCCTCAAGTTATCCACCCACCTTGGCCTCCCAAAGTGTTGGGATTACGGGCGTGAGCCACCATGCCCAGCCTATCGTTATCATTTTCATTTAATCATGTTAATTATTAAACTCTCCAGTTCTCTCTAACCCCCAGGAATTTTGTGTCCACATCAGAACACAGGTTGCCTTGGATTTAGGACTGACAGCTATTTCAACTGTCTGGTGTTATAATGGGTATTCACCATCACAAAATCTAAGTGTGAAAATAGCTGAACTCAACATACTCCTTGGGGATAGTGGTTGCTTTGAGGGTGTAGTTTCTGGGAGGGGGAGCAAGAGGGCCTTCTGGGACAATGGTCACATTCTGTTTCTTGGTCAGGGTGCTGGACATGCAGGTGTTTTCACTTTGTGAGAACTCATTAAGATGTACCCTCAAGACGTGCGTACTTTTCTGTAAGCACGCTTCATTTTCTTTTTTTGAGATGGAGGCTCACTCTGTCGCCCAGGCTGGAGTGCAGTGGCGTGATCTTGGCTCACTGCAACCTCTGCCTCCGGGTTCAAGTGATTCTCCTGCCTCAGGCTCCTGAGTAGCTGGGATTACAGGTACTCATCACCACACCCAGCTAATTTCTGTGTTTTTAGTAGAGACAGGGTTTTACCATCTTGGCTAGGCTGGTCTTAAACTCCTGACCTCGTGATCCACCCTCCTTGGCCTCCCATAGTGCTGGGATTACAGGTGTGAGCCACTGTGCCCGGCAAGCACCCTTCATTTTCATAAAAAGTTCTGAAAACTCTTCATAAATATAGAAATATTGCAGTAGTCTCAAACAAGCACGCAGAGGAAGTTGGCTAACAAGAACAAATGGTGTGGTAGAACCTTTCCACACTTGAGGCACTTGAACCACCTTCAAGCCTTGTAAAATTGAGGAATGGGCTCTTCCACAGAGAAAAGATCTACCAGTTAAGACTGGGTCAGGATCCATGTTAAACACTATGTTCATTCAAACTTCACAACACAGCCTGACCGATATGGTGAAATCCAGTCTCTACAAAAAAAAAAAAAAAAAAAAAAATCAGCCAGGTGTGGTGGCTCACGCCTGTAATCCCAGCACTTTGGGAGGCCGAGGCAGGCAGATCACTTGAGGTCAGGAGTTCAAGACCAGCCTGGCCAACATGGTGAAACCCCATCTCTGCAAAAAATACAAAAAAAAAATTAGCTGGGCATAGTTGCAGGCGCCTGTAAGCTCAGCTACTTGGGAGGCTGAGGCAGGGGAATCTCTTGAACCCAGGAGGCAGAGGTTGCGGTGAGCCAAGATTGCACCACTGTATTCCAGCCCGGTGACTGCGTGAGACTCCGTCTCAAAAAAAAGAAAAAGTTTGCTGGGCATGGTGGCACATGCCTGTAATCCAAGTTACTAGGGAGGCTGAGGCAGGAGAAGTGCTTAAACCTGGGAGATGGAGATTGCAGTGAGCTGAGATCATGCCACTGCCCTCCAGCCTGGGTGATAGGATAAGACTGTCTCAAAAACAAACAACAACAACAAAAAACACTTCACAACAACCCTAATTTTATCCCTGCTTTACAGATGAAAAAACTGGGGCATGAAGAGGTTAACAAGCCTGACCAAGGTTACAGGGTTATTATTTTGGCAGGGTGGGGATTCAATCAGGCAGCTGGACTCCTGAATCCATGCTCTTAACAATGATGCTGGCCATGCCTTTGGTAGTGCTACACCCAGGGATGGATTTGCAGTGTCTAGTGTGTGACATTTACTGGGGTGCATTCCAGCTCAATAAAATGTCCTTGTCCAAACACCTACAATTATATGCATCTTAACAAACACACCTCTTTCATAAATGACAGCCTGATTTACAGAGTGAATCTCTGTCTTTGAAAGACTTGTGTTTAAACATGTGACAGGGTGCCCATGTCTCCTGCCTCTTCATCAGAGACTTTCTCCATTCATTTGTTTGAAATCAAACACAAGTGCTGGGCCTACCTGAAGCCACAATCAGCCCAGATTAGATTAGAGAGGTCACCTGTGTTCCTTTCTCGTCCATTAGGAAGATGTATTGCTTCTCAAGAACGCATTTGCTCATCCTCCCCTCCTGGAGTAAGCAAAAACGGTACTCCACTGCATTAGCAGAGCTGGGTAAAACTAGTACAACTCTTGGTGGATCTCTGCAATGCTACCTTAATTGTGCTTTTAGAGGAACGTTTTTAGTAAGGGCAGTTCAGCAATGTTTTCTTTTTAAGTCCCATTTATCTTTATGAAAGGTAAACCTGTTTGCCTGTGTTGCTTTTGAGGAATATTAGTGGGAAAACTGACAATTATTTAAATATGATGGATTATCTAATTAATTCTCTTCATTTTGCTTCTTCAAGTAAAAAAAGCTGCTGAGTCCCTCACTCAAGCCATTTTCTTATTTTTTGTTTTGTTTTGTTTTCAGTTTCTGAGACTGTCTGGTGAGCCAGGAATTCAAATTACACACACACACCGTGTGTACACACCATTCTGATTTGGCTATTGAGGTTTTCAGTGAATATGGATTCTTTTAAAATTATTATTATTACTTTATTTGTATTTTTACATCCAGCCCAAAATGTCAGAATATGGATTCTACCTTCTAGCACGGGACCCTTTTCTGATAGTGCGGACTTCAGCACAAATGCATGGTCTTGACAGGTATGTACTCATTTCTCCCTGGAACTGGGACAGTGATCTCCACTGCGGCAAGCCCCACGGCAAGGTGTCTGTGGTGTCACCCGGTTCCCCGATCGGCATCCGAAATGCAATCCCCAGGTACTTCAGGTTCTTATCATCAAAGCCCCCGGTGAACCTCTTCAAAGCTACCCTCCTTGAGCAAGATTATTCAGGGGACTTCCCAGGAGCAGAGGCAATGTCCCCGGGACCCAGGCCCGGGCAAAGCTAAGTTGCTTATCACAGGCCTCCACCCTGACTATCAGACTCACTCAGGGCGACGCCTGCTTCCCGGGGGACCCGGGGACTCAGTGGCTTCCGCAGGAGGCTGCCTGGGGCTCCTCCAGGAGCTCCCGGGGGCGCCGCGGCACCAGTGGGGGACCGGAGGGTCGCTGGCCCCTCTCCGGGAGGGCAGGGCCCCGGGCTAAGTTTGGGGAAGCTCCGAGGATGCTGACCTCAACTTTGGTCTTTAAAAATAGCTCCCAGGCCGCGGCGCTCACGTGAGCGGCCCCGCTTCCCCTCCACCGGCCCGGGGCTCCCGGCCGCTCGTCGCCCCCCGGGGCGCGGAGGGGAAGGGCGGGGGCCCGAGTCCCGGCGGCAGGAGAGACCCTAGCCCGGGTGAGCGCCGCAAGAGGGCGTGGGGGGCGAGGCGGGGAAGGGACCCCGGCCGGGAAGGAGGCCGCGCTCACCTTCTTCACCGACAGCGAGATGTTCTCCAGGATCCGGTCCTTCACCTCCCGCGGCTCCATAGCGCTGCCACCGTCGCCGCCGCCGCCCCGCCGCCGCTTCCCGCGCCGGGGGCCGGGGGTCTCCGCCAACCGCTGCCGCTGGCCGTGTGGGGGCTCCGTCGTGCCGGCCGCGGGGCGCGGCACCCGCCGCCCGGCCCTCGTCTAGCCCGGGCCCTCGCTCCGCCGCGGCCCGGCGGCTCCAGAGCGCGGCCCGGCGGGGAAGGAGGCCGCGGCTGTGCGCGGCGGCAGCAGGAACTGATGTCAGGCGGGGCGGCGCCAGGGCCCGCCTGCGCCTGGGGACTCCGGGGACCCGGAGACCCGCACAGAGTCTGGGCCGCGGCCCTCCCCAGAGACCCCGAGGCCCTCCCCCAGCCCTCCTCAGGACACAGACCACCCCCTCGGGGACCCCAGAGACACCCTCAGACCCCAGGGACTCCGGAGACCTCGACCCCGCCTGCCGGGGACCCGGGCCCCCCTCAGAGACCCTCCCCTGGCCTCCTCAGCCCACAGACTCCCTCCGAGATCCCAGAGACACCCTCAGACCTCAGGGACTCTGGAGATCCCGACCCCGCCTCCCGGAGACCCTCACAGACCCCGCGACCCTGGCCCTTCTCAGAGATCCCGGAGACCCCTTCCCCAGCCCTCCTCAGGCCATAGACTACCCCCTGGTACCCCAGAGACACCCTCAGATCGCAGGGACTCCGAAGAACCCAACCTCACCTGCCAGAGACCCCCACAGACCTGGGCCCCCTGCCCTCCTCAGAGACCCAGAGACCCTCCCCGCAGCCCTCTTCAGCCCACAGACTTCCCCCTCAAAACCTCAGAGACTCCCACCCCACCGGCTAGAGACCCCCGTAGACCCCAAGACCCCTACCCTCTTCAGAGACCCTAGACATCCACAGACCCTGGGACCCCTCCCGCTGACCCTCTTTAGCCCACAGACCCCTCCTCCCTCTTAGGGGACCCCACCCCTCCTCGGTGCACCCCGCTAACTGGCCAGAGACCCTCAGACCCCCTCAGCCCACAAGCCCCACCTATCTTCCTCCCCTTCCTTAACCCAGGCATCCCCTCAAGGCACACACCCAGGCCCCCTGGCTTTGGCAGCCTGGAGGCTCCAGCACCCAGCACTAGACCCTCCCTGGTCCCCCTGCCCCTCCCCAGCCCCTCCCCTCCTCAGTGCCTCACCCTCAAGGCCCAGTCCTACACTTGAGGTCCCTGGCGCTCCTCCCCACCCTCAAAACACACCCTCCTCACCTTCAGCCCCAACTCCATTCCCATTCCTTACCCTTATCCCTCTTCTTCAGCCCCACATATCCTGAGGGCCTCAACTCCCTCAGCCCCTAAAACCCTCCATAACAACTCTGTTTTCCCACACACCCCTCCTGAAATCCACCATCTCATAAAGCCCCTGCACTTAGAGGTCTCAGTCTCCTAACCTGGCTCTCTTCCCTCGTTTGGTTCCCAAATAAATATATCCTGATACCTTGATTAGTCCCTCTTTTTTATTCTTAGACACCCCAATTCTCAACTCTGGTTCTCTGGTCTTCCCTCTTCTCTGCTCAGGTCATCTCGTCCCTGAAGCCCCACTTAGCACAGCATCTGAAATACTGATTCATTAAGAAATTAATTAAGAAACCTAAGAGGGACCCCACTCCACAAATCTCCAAAGGTCGCTCCCCACCCCTCAGTTTCCCAAAGAGAGACCCAAGGTAGTGCTACTTTTTTTTTTTTTTTTTTTTAAGACAGAGTCTTGCTCTGTTGCCCAGGCTGGAGTGCAGCGGTGCGATCTCAGCTCACTGCAACCTGGGTTCAAGTGATTCTTCTGCCTCAACCTCCCAAGTAGCTGAGATTATAGGCATGCGCCACCACACCTGGCTAATTTTTGTATTTTTAGTAGAAAGGAGGTTTCACCATATTGGCCAGGCTGGTCTCAAACCCCTGACCTTGTGATCCGCCTACTTCCGCCTCCCAAAGTGCTGGGATTACAGGCATGAGCCACTGTGCCTGGCCTAAATTATTTCTTAAAGATAGGGTCTCACACTGTCACCCAGGCTGGAGTGCAGTGGTGTTTGTGTGATCATAGCTCACTGCAGCTTGAACGCCTGGGGGGGATCCTCCCACCTCAGCCTCCCAAGTAGCTGGGACTACAGGTGTTCACCACCATGCCCAGCGAATTTTATTTTTTGTAGAGACAGGGTCTCACTTTGTTACCCAGGCTGCTCTTAAACTCCCGGGCTCAGGCCATCCTCTTGCCTCAGGCTCCCAAAGGGCTGGCATTACAGGCATGAACCATCATGCCCGGCCCAGGGTGTTTTCTTATTTGTACTGAGTTCGGGAAAATAAGAGATACCAGCCTCTCTGGAGCTGTTATCTACCTCTCTTATTCAGAGAGCAGAATAAGAACAGATGAGGGTTGAGACTCAGTCACTGGATAGGTAGAGAAAAGGTTGAGGACAGAGGACACATAACTTTGAATGAGGAAACAAACAGCCAGGTATCTATGGTTATAAATAGCCTCCTACTTACCAAAGATGTTTGTGGAGTCAGAGTCAGCTAGAGTGAATAACTAGTGTAATCGTGCGCTCCCTTCCCACTCCATCCTGGCTGGGGTACATACAGGCCCCAACCTGTTGGATGCAGCTCTGGTTCACGAGAATGCAGTCAGCCCAAAGTTGACCCAACAAGCTTTGAGATTCTTCTCTGTTGTTGAATTGCAAGCCATCTTCTGCTGGGCACTGTCTTCTGTTGGTTACCTCCTTCCTGAGAATGGCTGTTCATGGCTTGGGCACATGGTAGATTCAATGAGATTTTTTTTTTTTTTTGAGACGGAGTCTTGCTCTCTTGCCCAGGCTGGAGTGCAATGGTGCAATCTTGGCTCACTGCAACCTCTACCTCCCTTGGCTCACTGCAGCCTCCACCTCCAATCCTGGGTTCAAGCGATTCTCCAGCCTCAGCCTCCTGAGCAGCTGGGATTACAGGCATGCGCCACCACGCCCAGCTAATCTTTGTATTTTTAGTAGAGACTGGGTTTCACCATGTTGGTCAGGCTGGTCTCGAACTCCTGACGTCGTGATCTGCCTGCCTCAGCCTCCCAAAGTGCTGGGATTACAGGTATGAGCCACTGTGCCCGGCAGTCAATGGGTATTTTTATTCCTTGGCTGTATACTTGGGGTGTCCACTTTATATAGGAAGGTGATAGCATTTCTGCCATATTGTTTTCATCTGCGTGCAGTGGGAGATGGTCACATTCAGCATTTTACAACATTCAGAGGAATGTAAGGTCTCACTGTCTGCCAAATTGCTAAGGCTTGCATAGGTATATGAGCTGGTAGAATAGCCATTTTTATCTAGCAAGATGTCTTGCAGGAAATGAGGAGATGCCAAATGTACATTCATGTGCAGCTAATTGCTCCATGTCTAGAGTTCAAATATGGAATCCATCTTTCGTGTCAAACACAGCGTCAGTTGGACGTGGTGCTGCACATCTGTAGTCTCAGCTGCTTTGGAGGCTGAAGAGGGAGGATCCCTTGAACCCAAGAGTTCAAGGCTGCAGTGAGCTATGGTCACACTGCTGTACTCCAGCCTGAGTGACACAGCGAGACTTCATCTCTAAAAAACAACCCCAAAAAACAAACGAAAAACCCCCAAAAAAACAAAAAAACAGGGCGACTCTGAAAAACACAGGATACCTATTTAATCTTGTTATTGGGAGTCACTTAAGCTGGAAACTGAAGCTCATTTTTATTGCACAAGACTTTTCTGATCACATGAGAAGGGCATGGGACTCTGAGTCAAAAGGCAACAGGAATCAAAAGCCTCAACTGACTCATGCTAGGGCCTCAGGCAAGTCACTTTGCCTTAGTTTCCAAATCATTGACCCAGGAAAAATGATTCTGTTCTTGTTTTTTGTTTTTTTTATTGTTGTTTGAGATGGAGTCTCGCTGTCACCCAGGCTGGAGTGCAGAGGCATGATCTCAACTGACTACAACCTCCACCTCCTGTCATAGCGTTTAGAATACCTTCTGTAGCACAGTGTAAGAGGAAAAAAAAAGAAAAGAAAAATTAATAGAATACAGTCTACACTCTTTTCTCTGGCTTCCAAGGCTGATCTGACCAGCCTCCCTCCCTGACTCATCTCCTAATCTCTCCGCTGGTATGTGCCAGCCCCACCAGCCTTAGTTTCTCAAGCATGCTGGTCTGTTCACATCCAAGCGCCTTTTCAGGGAATACTCTTTTTCCCAGTACAGTGAGGCCTCTAGCTATTCACCCAAATCTACTCTCTCTGGCTGGCTGCGATGGCTCACACCTATGATCCTTAGTGCTTTGGAGGCCAAGGCAGGATGATTACATTTGGAGGTCCAGGAATTTGAGACCAGCCTGGACAACAAAGTGAGACCCCATCTCTACAAAAAATCCAAAAATTAGCCAGGCACAATGGTGTGTACCTGTTATCCCAGCTACATAGGAGGTTGAGGCTTCAGTGAGCCATGTTTGCACCACTGCACTCCAACCTAATTAAGAGAGTGAGACCTTGTCTCAAAACAAAAGCCAAACAACAGAAAAACAAAATCTGCCCTCTCTTTCCACAGTAATAGGGTTGTAGCCAGGCACAGTGCTAGAGTACATTTTCCACCCTCCTTTGCAACAGGCACAGCTATATGATCAAATCCTCTCCAACAGAACATGGACAGAAATGTGATTCATTCCTAGGCTGGGATTCTAAGCAAATTCCTCTTCCATGCTGTTTCTTCTACCAGTGGGATGAAGCCAAGGGGATGTCAGACTTATAAAATGTAGACAGCCTAGTTTCCTGAATCACTGCATGGAAGAGAGCTGTCCATCAACCTAGAACAGCTGCTCTTTTTTCTGATTAATTTTTAACTTAATTAAAATGCAGGTAAAGTTTTTAGCTGGCTATGGAAGTTAAAGGACAATAGAGAGGCTGGGTGCGGTGGCTCACGCTTGTAATCCCAGCACTTTGGGAGGCCAAGGTGGCAGATCACCTGAGATCAAGAGTTCGAGACCCCAGCCTGAGTGACAAAAAAAAAAAAAAGATGACAGGTGTGGTGGTTCATGCTTGTAATCCTAGCACTTTGGGAGGCCAAGGTGGGTGGATCATGAGATCAAGAGATCGAGACCATCCTGGCCAACATGGTGAAACCCTATCTCTACTAAAAATACAAAAATTAGCTGGGCGTAGTGGCGCACACCTGTAATCCCAGCTACTCAGGAGGCTGAGGTAGGA